AATAAGCCTTTGCTGCAATAGCTTTTTGCTTACACAGCGCACATGAAATGTTTCACAGGCCATCGAGAAGCCTAAACAAGTCTATCCTTCTGGTGTACGACCGAGCGTTGAAGTGTTTCCTGGATAAGCCTTATGGCCTCGCAAAGTATTGCGCACATCCACGGTTAATGCCAGCTCGCAAAGCAGCATATATAGGGGTGCTTTGCGCCCTGGTATGCACGCTATTAACCCACACACCCTGCACCCTCGTGACGTGCACCCTGCACGGATCTGCATTCAACTACCGCTTGGAGTGATGCCCCAACCGCACAATCAGCACCTCCAAGCAGCAACACACAAAGTTCAAGCAAGGGCCAAGGCACTGCAAAATAATGTGTGGTGGCACTGCGTTGTATCCTCTGTAGATGCTGTGCATGTACATGAGCATTATTGCTTGTGTGACCCATGGGCTTCTCTCCATGCGGGCGGCAAAACCCTAAAACCATATATGTATAAAACCCTAATGTTTGACCGACATGAGTGGGGCCCCTATCATAGCCATGCACATCTCCTACCATTCCTCCACCGTTTGCTCCTACCAACCCACTACACTACACAACGTACCCCCCCCACACACATGGCTCCACTACTGCCAGGTCTTCCCTCCTCCCCATTGCTATAGGTCTTCTCCTCTTTACACATCTTCCCCCTCTCCCCCATGGGTGCCATCACACCACCCATCAGCATGGCCTTGCTGCTATCTTTTATCATTCTGCTTTTGCTTGCACAGCTGCTGTTGCTGCTTCTGCTTCTGCTTCTGCTTCTGCTGCTGCTTCTGCTGCTGCTGCTGCTGCTGCTGCTGCTGCTGCTGCTGTCGCTGCTCCTTCTGTAGCTGCTTCCGTTGCTGCTTCTGCAGCCGCTGCTGTTGCTTCTTCAGCCGCTGCTCCTGCTGCTGCAGCCGCTGCACCTGCTGCTGCAGCAACTGCTGCTTCTGCTGCAGCCGCTCCTGCTTCTGCTTCTGCTTCTGCTGCCAATTCCGCCACACAAGCCCTGTCTCCTCCTCGTTGCTGCTGGGGTCACCATGATCATCACCCCCGCAGGTCCGTAGTAGGTGCTGGCCCATGCTGCACTTCTGTTTCTTGGACAATGATGCTTGAATTCCCCCTGACCCGAGGTGTGGTCGCTTGCCTGGAGTTTCGTTGCAACTGTGGCAGCGCTTGCCAAGCCTCAACAGCTGTGGTGGCTGCTGCACTGGCAGTTGTCGTGGCAGCAGCAAGGGTGGGCACATCAATTGCCTGCCGTTGATGTTGCCATGGCCACTGCTGCAGCTGTTGTTGGCTGGCTGCCTGTGCTGCTGCTGCAGTGGCAGCTGCACTTCCTCCTTGTCATCGTTGTCCTCCTCCGCCGCCTCCTCCGCCTCCTCTGCCTCCTCCGCCTCCTCCGCCTCCTCCGCCTCCTCAGCCTCCTCCGCTTCCTCCGCCTCCTCAGCCTCCTCCGCTTCCTCAGCCTCCTCAGCCTCCTCAGCCTCCTCAGCCGCCTCAGCCGCCTCCGCCTCCTCCTCAGCCTCCTCAGCCTCCTCAGCATCCTCAGCATCCTCAGCCTCCTCAGCCTCCTCAGCCTCCTCCGCTTCCTCAGCCTCCTCAGCCTCCTCAGCCTCCTCCGCCTCCTCCTCCGCCTCCTCCGCCTCCTCCTTAGCCTCCTCCGCCTCCTCCTCCGCCTCCTCCGCCTCCTCCGCTTCCTCAGCCTCCTCAGCCTCCTCGTCAGCCTCCTCAGCCTTACCCATATCCTCATCCACAACCTGGTTGTCGCGGTCCTGCTGGTGCTGGTGCTGCATCCATTGACCCTGCTGCCTGCCTGCCGCTGCCCCTCCAGTGTCAGCAGCACCACCGCCACCGTGTTGTTTCTGCCTCTCCATGGCCCGCCAGCGCCCGAGGTGCCCAACAGCCTTCTGTGCCACGATGCTGTCACGACCCTTTATGTAGTGGCGGCGCCAGACAGCAACAGAATTTCCCATGACGAGTGCATCCCCTGCGAGGGCTTCCTCCTCCTGGTCTGCCACATTGTCCACCAGGTCTTTGAACCTCACAGTGGCATGGAGGTGCCTAAATTTCATGGGGCAGAATACTGTCGGCCAGGGTGCACCATACTTCCTTTGAATAAGCTTCCATTCGTCCGTGAATGGGGCGTCGACACCTGCAACCGGCCTGCCCTTCCTGTCAAGGAACAGGAAGGGAGGCTCCTTGCTGGCATCGTCAATGCTGGGATTCATGTTGAGGAGCGCTGGCCGGGCATACTCTGTGTAAGTCCGGATGTGCTGGGAGAGCGTTGAAGGGAGCACAATTCTCAGGGCCTCATCCTTCTTAAAGCGCTCCGTCTTGTGATGGATGGTCTCCATCACAAGACGACGGCCCCTGCTGCTGCTGCTCCTGCTGCTGCTGCTAGCGCCATGGCTGCCATCCGCCCCTGCCCCCGCCCTTGCTACAGGAAACACCTCGACCAGGTTGTTGCCGCGGCAGTCCTT